AAATCCTAAGACATGGACACCTGAGGTAGGATATTAAATATTTATTCAGAGTAATACATTAAGCACCATAATTCAGACAGTGAGTTATTCTAATTAGGTGTCCATAATAACCAACTTTTCAAATCTAAACATTAAGCACTTCCTATGGTACAAAGCAATGGAAAGGGTTAGAAGAAAAATAACATTTTTTTTTCATGGACCAACTGAGAAAATTAATTGGCCCTATTTCAATCAGCAAATGATCCAGCTTAGCTGAGATCAAAGCACAGCAGCTTGGCAATTCAGAATGGTGAAACTTGCTAATGTGTCCTGGCATACCATTTTCTTTTAAGTACTGTGTAATTGATAGGTGTCAGCCTGCAGAGTTTTGATTACTTGCTTTTATCAAGTTACTTTACCTTCTAGATATACTAATGCTGGTTATAAGTTATATATTATTCCTACTGTAATATATATGTGTATGCCTGCATGTGTGTATATATATAATCTTATTCCTATTATTCCAGGATGAACTGAATATTTTTTCTATATTAAATTGCTTCATGTGCCTGTTACCTCTGAAAAGTTGCTTACAAGGTCTTTCTGTGCATTTGAAAGATAAAAAGAAAGTGATAAAGATAACTCAAATCTAGTGATGAAAGGTGTGTTGGTTCATTTGTAGGGCATCCCCACATACTGGCTGGTCTGCATAGCTCCTTTCCCAATGCTTCATCTATCTTTGACTGATCACGGATGGGCCTTGGTTCCTGTGTTTAGTAGGCACTAGGTACATTTTGGTGATATTACAATCTAAATGAATTAATTTTTTAAAAAGTATGACACGCTTCAGTCTTCTGCCAGCCAAGGTAAATTCTACTAAATGTTTCTGATCAATTTCTGTACACAAGTAATTAAGTTTTCCTTTTGGTTATTTTGAATTTTTTCTTGTTTTCTTGTTTTTTCTTGCTTTCTCAGTTTTTATTATCGTGTGTAAGTGTTAGAGGGAAATAAATTAAGAGTCATATGGTAATACCTTACTCACAGTGTAATATTTGAAAATGTTGCATGGCTGAATCCTATGCTTGCCTTTAAACATGTGAGAAGTCACTTTGACCTCAGTGGGGCTATGAATATGTTTATCATTAACCATGAGTTTCAGTGCTTTCCCAGATCAGAACCAGAATGTGCAACACCTCAGAGGATCAAAAACCTTTATGTAGTACTTTGTCTCTCAAGAAGCCACATTTAAAAAAAAAAAGAATTAAACTGCTAGGGCACGTCTACACAAGACACTACAGTGCTGTAGCGATTTGTTACAATGCTGTAGCATCCGTTGGCAAAAACTGTGATGCCACCACTGTGTTGCTGTAGCTCCCATTGACATGGCAACACTTCAGCCAAAAATAACCGTGCATGGCTGGTACACTGCAGTACAGGCTGTTAATGGCGCAGTAACAAAGACCAGGTGTACATGGGCCCCTGATGCTGTATACTTCATGATCCTCTCCATACTTCAGGGTGTGGACCAGGGAGAAGACTACCAAATAGAAATTCAGAAAGAGACTGATCTAAAGTATACTGAAGCTAAAGATATGTTTTCCTTGCTTCCCAAGGTTGTGGAGCAACACATCAGAGAACCAAGACTAAAATTTAAAAAAATGGACTTTAAATATCCCATTAACATGCTAAATTAGACTACCTAATAATCTCCTTAAGGACTCTGGATCCCCTAAAACTATCATGGTTATAGAGTTAGATCTTAATTGCTTTCTGAATGGGTGAAATGTCATTTATTTTTTGGGGGATGCCAGAAATAAAGTAGTCTGAATAAATATTGTCTGTGTGGTATTTGTTATGACAAAAACTTAGCCATCACTTCTAAACGTTGTCAGATCATTAAAAATAATTAAAAAATGCATACAAACTTTCCCAGATTAGAGGGACATGGCAACAAATTATCCTGCACATGATGGTTAGTAACTTAAATGCTGGTGGGTTTGCACTTACTCTGTGACATTTTTTTACTTCTTTTTATATCTTGATATATTACAGAATATTTCTTATTGCAAAAATATTTTTACAATGATCACATTTCTTAAAAAATATAAATATTCACTTAAACCACAAAATACTCCAGTACCATGTAGGATAATAATTACTTTATTCATAGTCCCTGGGAGGAGTACATATCATTTTTACTCATCTGCTCCATGATAATTTTTTCATGTGTGAACATTTGGCAATTTTCTTAAAAAATATGAAAAGTGGATGATATTAATTTCTAAATAACAAAAGGAAGCTGTTCGAGACATTTAAGTATTTTGTCATTGAATATCAATTAGAAGAGATTCTTTTTCCCCTTCCCTTTTAAAGATCCCTACCCTCCTTTCTGAGAAACACGAATCCTAGTGCTAGTGTCCAAAGAAAGAAAAGCAATAGTCTTTTGGGACACAAGCAATCTGTCATTCAATCCCACATATCTGGACTAATCTGGTTTTAATTTGCTTATTGTTCATTCTGAGCACATGGGTCTGGGAGTTGTAATATTTCTTTTTGAGGAATTCCAAATATGGTCAAATGTCAAATGGGAAAATTGGCAAGGAATGTAGGTCACTGAGATGCACAGTTATAGAAAAATCCTGCCTCTGAAAGTAACGTATGTCATGGAACCACTGTATAAATACATTGACTATTTTGTTCTTCATACTGCATAGTACATCCTCCCCCATCTTTAAATTAGGAGCAAGATGTTAATAATTTCACTGGAAATGTAAAGCCTAGATTTTGCTGTGTGAGGAAGTTTCTGAATAAGACATCAAGTTTCTAGCCATCAGAGGATAATTTATTGATACTTGTCAAAAGGAAGTATCAGTCTAACAGAAATCAAGACAAAAGGAATGCCTGATGAATTTCCTTTGAAGTGCCTTTTATAAAAGTCCTTGGTAATACATATTGATGAACTCCAAATTGTCTTGCCTGAAGGGAAAAGAAAGTAGACTGCTTTACACTGTCTTATAAATATTCATCAAAAGAACAAGACTTATGTTTCCAGGCGTGAGGTGAATGATTACCGGCTGTATGATTGCCTTGGAATCTGGATAATTAGTAAAACAGCCTTTGACAGTTGGAGAATTTTAAACTTGGTATCTTGCCTTCTCTCCTTCTGGATTTAAAGGCAGAGCCTGATATTCTGAAAGGAAGAAAATTTAAGGGCTGATGGATTGATATAATTAAGCTTTCCATCAGATTCTTCTACTGTTTGTTTGCCTGTTTGTCTAGCCAAAAATTAAAGGCAAAGTTGTGTAGCGTCTCTATTCTGACTCTCTAATGAAACTACAGCATTTGTAATGTGAAAATCTTGCTGAAACAAGCCAGTTGAAATGGTTCTTTAATTAAGACTGAGATAATGTGAAAATGGTTTGGGTGGCTGATGTCCCAGTCGGTCCTCTGCAAAAATCTGCAGCCTAGGCTTTTTTTTGCTTAGCTCAGGCTCGTCTCGATGGTTTCATGACATAACAGAAGAGTCAACAGTTTACCATTCATCTTTACTTAATGCATGTGATAAGGATATGAACTGTATGGAGAAGATTCTTTGTGAGTGGTTTGGGAAAAATGTGCCTGTGTTCAGTGATCTGTGAATTTTCATGGTTTACTCAAACTGTCTGCAGCTTTCTATTGACCTCTGTTAGGAGCACCTAGCCTTTTGCTAGCAGAGAGAAAAAAAATGCCATTCTCAGGAAACATTATCCTTTACAGTGTTTAGCACTTAAATGCAATTAGGCAAATATAATATCCTCTTTGAAGGGAAATAGTTGCTCAGTTTAAGTAACTGAAACTAATTATCTTGGTAGAGTGAAGGGCACATTCCAGGAGTACTTGATCAGTTTGCTGTTTCTGAAAAATTCAAAGAGGCAAATGGATTGTTTGACTGGGTGGAGAGAAGAGGGGAATCCTCTTTATTAGGTGTATACCAATTTCTAGTATTATGCCAGACATAGGTGTATAAAGTGGGGGAAATGTGGTGGCAATCAGTTCAGAGAAAAGAAGTTAAGCCTATAAATAATATTTTATAAGAAACAATTTGTTGGGCAAAACAGCAAAGAACTGCCCTAGGTATTTTATTTGTAACTGATTTTGTTGCCAGAAACATACTTGGCCAGAAACATTTAGAAAGTTTTAAAATAATTATGTAGAGCTGAGTTTTGATGAATACAAGGATGATGGTGTTATACTTAGACAGCAGAATAGGATAATTTTGCAAGTAAAATTATTTTATGGAATAGACAGAGAAATCTTTTATCTCATTTTTTTAATGTGTTTTATGACTCATTCCATTTTGAATACATGAAAAATTGTTTAGCAATTGCGCCTGTTACCTGCCATAAACAGTTTGTAATATTTACATACATCACAGAGATTACCTAGAAGAATTCAGCACGTTTAGGAACAATTCAAAAGCAGTAACCCCTCCACATGAAGCACACTATTAAAAAGTAGTTAAAAGATTATTTTTACCCTTTTATTTTATGCCTTTTATTCCCATAACCTATTTCTAAAGATTTACACTGAGCTTAAGATATCATCATCATTGTACAAATGTTTCACCTTTCTATGCTAAACAAGAACACCCTTTTTAAATATTAATGGTGGGTTGCAATAAGATGACAGAGCAGGAAAAAGGAATTGACAGTAAGATATCTTTAAAAACTTTCACTACCTTCTATGTTAACCTGAATCCCTGTAATGTCAAATACTGAATTATTGCACTCTGAGAAAGAAAAAAAAATGCACCTAGACATTACAGACAGAGCACATGACATTCAAAGTCTAGTTATCTGTACCTGAAAAGCATACAAAATACAAGCGTCAGAAGTAAAGTGACTGAGAGAGAGAAAGGGAAAGCACGCATGTCTTGTAATTAATCAAATGACTAATATACCTTTAAAGTAATACTAAAAAGCAAGGCTCTGAATTGAAAAATTCCGATTTTCTGAAACCATTGATTGAAACAATGGAGCCTCCATGTCACATGCACTATACCAGATTTCTTCCTAAAAAGAAAGGTAGTCAAATTATTCCTCCTCACTGACAACATCGGGTGAACAACTGCATTTAAAACTACTTGTTACCAGCCAGCTTCCTTCAGTGTCATGCCTTTACAGTGGTTTCTGTGTAGTCAACAATTACCAAGAGTTTGCTATGCAATGATTCTCTCAGTGACCTTCACTTTCACTGCACAAAAAGTATGAGACTGTGGTGAAATGTGTATGTTTAAATGGCTGGGTTTTGTTCTTGGTTTTTTTTTTGGGGGGGTGGTGGAACAAACGCATTGTTACATTTGTCTTGTGGGTATTTGTTGCTTTTTCCCCAGTGTTCTAATATTTTCCTAGCTGAGACATTTTAATGACATTTTCTTGTCTGCTAAAATGCATTAATGTATCAAAATGTTGCTAGTAGGGAGGACAGAATACAGGGGTGCCCCTATTTGAGTGTGAGTGTTTTTTCACCTAGAACCCACTGACTCATGCAACTTAATCTTCTGTAGGCATTTCCTTTAGCTATTGATTTACTTTTCTTCTTCCAATGGGGAGGGAAATGTGTCCTGAAAGCCTTGCTTCATTAAGTATCAAAACAAAACCCATTTTAAAATGCTCCCTGATCTACCCACTTAAAATAGCTGTTGTTTCATCTTAACCATGTCATGCCTCTACGTGGCTGGTTCCCAGCTTCTGCACCTTTTTTGCTTCACTTAGGGATGCTTCTGCCATTTTAAGGACAGTCTTGGAGTATTACACCTAAAGCGGTCCTTTATGATAATCAGCCGTTGGTGCAGCTCTTCTGAGTACTCTGAAGCAGTGATTTCCAATCAGAGTGCCATGGTCCTGTTAGGTTTGCAAACATAATTCACAAGATAAACCCAGAGATTTCAAACAGGAATCCATAGTGTTAAAAATATTCTGACCTGTTGTGGTCTTTCTGAGGTCTTTGAAACAAAAGAATTGTTCTACTATTTTTCTGTAGTCAAAAACTAAGAGTAAACTAAGAGCTGGCATTTTCTAAAGAGTGTTTTGAGTCCAACAAGAGGCACCTTTGGTCTAATGAGGGGTGACTTGCATCTAAAAAGGTTGAGGACTACTACTCTAAGGCCCTGTCCATACTGTATCTCTTCTACACTTGGGACTGAGAACAAAGACTGGGCCCATCTCTTCTATACTTGGGACTGGGCCATGCTCTTGACCCCTCTAAGCCATCTAGGACTGCCTAAATGCCAGCTGGAGCACATACTTGGGAAGTGAGTGGGTGGGATTTATTTCTCAGCCACAATCATGGACTCAGTAGTTTGGCAGAAGAGAAAAATCTATTTTCCTTCCAGCTTTAGCCCTAGCCTATGTCTTTTTTAACTGCAGAAGTCACTTCAAATGAGAATGACATTTAGAACTACACATGCTACGGAGACTAAGTAGCCTAACTGTAACACAGTGCTTTCAATTATGTCAGAGAGCATGTTAGGTGATAAGAAAGTGGAGACTGTTTTCATAATTTGTGTCTTATGTTTTCATACACACAGAAGGTGCGATCTGTTCAAGCTAAAGAACAGTTTTTCAGGGGGAAATAAGTGAAGTTAGGTAGGATAGAAATAAAGGGGGAATGGCATGCAAACATCATGTTCAGGTAGACAAAATTTCTCAAAATGGAAGCACCACCCACTGTTCCCAAGGCTGCCATTGCTCTGCTGAGTGGCCTGGGGCAAATCACTTTGGCATCCAATCTCCATTTGTTCTCTGAATCTGGTTCTATCTTACTTATTAAGATTGTAAGTTATTCAGCTTCAGGCACAGTTTCTTGCTATATGTTATATAAGGTGCATAGCACCATTTGGCGTTAATCTCAGTTAGGTATGTACAGGTGCTACTTTTAGATCAAGCTACCAGGGTTAGGTGGATCTAAACACTCACTCATCTAGGCATTCACAGGATTTAATTGGGCCAAACAATGGTACACTTGATCTTAATTCACCTCAGTAGGTACATAAACTTAGATTGTGAAAAGGTTCAAACTAGGTTAACCTGATCTCGCAAATGCCTGCACACATTTGCAGCAGAGCTCCAAGGCTGGGAAAGCCCAGCCACTCACCCAAGCCCTCTGTGATATTCTTACCCCCCTGACCCTGGATGGGCTATTTTTTAGCCTTCTGATTCTCCACCCCCAGCAGGTCAGCCACGTGCTGCAGACTCACCAAAACCTCCACCCTCACAAACCTATCAGCCTCCCCAGACCTGTCAACTCCCCCAGGCACCACCAGTTCCCACCATGGACCTGCCAGCCCCTCCTTGCACATCAAGTTACCTACCTTGGGGTACCCGCACTGCGTTTAGAAGTGTAGGATTGGCTGCATGTTCTTCTCTTGACAGTGGCAAACAGCTTTATGCACCACTCTTGGTCTAGGTTTAAGCAGCTTAAAGTAAGCTGCCTAAACCTGCACTGGTTGCAGTGAAGTGAATGCCTGTTCCCATTCTGAAAGCAGAACAAATTACAATCACAATCTAGATAGAGGTCAGTAGGAGAACACCTGCTAAAATATAGTTCATGAAGGATGGTCAGCATCATTTCAGTTTACCGGAATCAACTGTTTACCATAGGTGCCTGTACATGAATGCATAGAGCCAGGAAACAAGGCGGAAGAATTGGAAGTCCTTGCACAGCCATGGGACTATGACATGATTGGAATAACAGAAATTTGGTGGGTAGCTTGCTTCTCTCCAGCAGCTTGGGAGGACAATGTGGAATAATTTGGTATCATCTGCAAACTTGGAGATTTCACTGTGTACCTCTATTTTCAGGTAACTGATAAAAGTGTTGAATAAAATTGGGCCCAGCACAGATCCCTGTGGGGCTCTACTTTTGACCTCCATCCAGAAAAGTGACCGTTTTGCCCTACCCTTTGCTTTTTATTTTTTAACCAGTTCTTAGTCCACAAAAAAACATTTCCTCCAATCCCAGCGCAACACAGTTTTTTTAAAAGCCTTTGATGAGGGACCTTGTTGAATGCTTTTTGAAAGTCCCAATATATTATGTCAACTGAATCTCCCTTGTCATGCTTGTTAACACCCTCAAAGAACTCCATCAGATCTGAGGTAGGATTTTCCTTTACAAAAACCAGGTCAACTCTTCCTTGGCAGATCATATTTGTCTATGCAACTGCTGATTTTATTCTTTATTATAGATTCTACCAACTTGCAAGGGTGGAGGTGAGATTCATTGGTTTGCAGCTCTCAGGATCACCTCTTTTTGAAGGCGGGTGTTATGCTGGTAATCCATAAACAGTCCTCTGGCCCATAAACAAATGAGAATTTTTCCAGCTTGGTTGTACCCTATTGTGTATGCAGAATATTTTTGTATGTATTCCTGGTTCTTTTTGGAATGTTAATAGGCAGGGATCTACCTAAATTGCAGTCGCAGCAGTGTCTTTAATCTCACTCTTTTTGCTGCATTCTCTCTAACTTGCCAGTAAGTGGCTGGAAGGCAATTAATGCCATGGTTTTTGTTTCTTGGCCACTCAGCGATCCTGTCCAACTCTAACTTTTTATGATTCTATGATTCTTAGGCAGCATAGTGCCTTGATCCTGTGCAGATAGATGTGTATGGGAAAGAAACTTTCTGAGCTGACCTCTTTATCAGTAAACTCATGCAGAGGCAGGAATGATTTGGAGAGAGAATTCAAAGAGGGAGTGAGGAGGGGGGAATGTGCTTCACTCAATGATATGTTATTCCATATCATTGTAGAGGGAACTTGAAAAGGAGTGCTCGTGGCAGTTGGCAAGTGACGCCCGTTAAATATTAACTACTTTTAAAATTAAAACAGATCATTTTTCTCTCTTAATTTAACTGAACCTGGATATAATTAGGGAATGCAGCTAGGAAAGGATCACGAAATAGAACAGTGGACAATGTGAAGTATATTTCAAAACAAAAAAAAATAAAAGGTGTGGGGGTATTTTTTGAGAGGATGTAAAAAAAAAAAGAGGTAATTTCTAAAATGTAGATGTAAATCAGCAGCCTCTCAGATATATTGTTTGGCCCAAGATTTGAATGCTTGATAGACAGTGGAGTCATTTTGTAGAGGATTGAAAGAGGGTGTGTTAAAGATGATAACATAAATCTGTAGAAGTGATGAACATCCTTATTAAGCTTTCTAGAAAAATGCACCATGCTGAGACAGCAAGTATTTATAAGCTAAAAAAAAATCCAAATATCAGGGGGTCCTAATTATGATACATTTTTCTACAATCCTGACAGAAGAGAGAAAAATAACAGCAAACATAAAAAAACATGTTTGAGTTAAGGTAGACGTCAAGGAGTAAACATGAAAGCTTACTCTAGGTTTCACCATTTTATAGCTCAAATCTCATTGTATATATTCTAGATCTATATATTTTCTATATATCTATAAATCTCATTGTAAGTATTCATAGCTGAAAAGCTGCACGCATCCAGAAGAGCTACAGTTATGTTTCTTATGGGCATGGGCAGATCCAGGCTTTTTGAAAGGACAGGGGGTGAAGATGGTCCTTGTCTCATGAACAGTAAGTAGCAACATGACTGAGTCTGTAAGTGTGGGACTGCAAGAAGCACGGCAGGAGCACAGTGAAAAGGGCTGCTGAGGCACATGGTTCTGGGAAACCTTAAAGCTAGCCACTAAAGACAAGACAGGTATTTTGCTGATGCTGTTCTTTGTGCTCCTGCAATGTGGGCTGGGCTTTGGGAGGTTAGGTGTAGAGCGCAGCTGGCCATGCATATAGAAGGGCTGCACTTAGAAGAGCATGGCTTAGGACAAGGTGCTTCCTAACCCATTCTCTGCTGGGCAGTTTGCTCCCTTATTTCAGCAGCCTTGTTAGCCACAGGGCGGGGGGGAAGGGTAGGATTTTCCCCACCTACCCTAACTCCCAGGAGCTGTGCTTAGAGCTCCAGGCCACTTAACACATTTTGAGCTTCTCTGGTGCCAAAAATTTGCTCCTTCATTAAAGCAGATGGGCTGGCCAGGTCAAGGGAAGAAGGAATCGGACTTTCCCCGAGAGCAGCATATGCCCTGCTTATGGCAGCAGCTGTATAGGTTGGTCACGTGGAGGGGAGGAGGGGAAGAGAAAATGGGACACTCCCCAGGTATGGTTCAGTGCCCTGGCTCCCAGGATCCTATCTTAGGGCTCACCCAGCTTACCCCTTTCTCTACTGGCTGGTAGCAGCCTTTTTGGCCATGTGGATGGGAAGGGACTTTTCCCGCTTGCTCTAGCTCCTGGAAGCCCAGCCCAGGGCTCCACACCACTTACCCAGTCCTTGCTGATGCTGGTACCAGAATCACAGCAGCTGTGCTAGCTGTGGCAGTGGGGAGGAGGCGGAGGCAACCGGGGAGATAGGACTTTCCCTGAAGCAGCATGTTCCCAGGAGCCCAGATACCTCCCATTTCCTGATGGCTTTGCTACAGACAGTTTTCTGCCTAAGGCAGCAGAGGCACTAGCTGGTCCATGTGGAAGGGAGGGCCAGAAAGGGAAGAGACATTACCCAGAGCAACAAGCAGCAGACCTTGGCTCTAGGGAGTCTGGCTTATTGTTCTGCACTGTTTACCTTTCTCCATCCCCTTTTTGTCTGCTCACCTGCCTTTTTCCTTGTGTCTTCTTTTTACTGTTTTGCTCCTCTAGCCTCCTCCTGAAAAGGAGACTTCCAGCCCAGTGCCATGGAGCACTGGCAGGTCAGGATCCCTCAGTGCAGCTGCTGAGTGAGTGAAGCAAGAATCAAAGGGGCATGTGTCCATTCCAGTGAACCCCCTCTGGATCTGCCCTGCTAAGGGGGTAGAAAACTGAGCATGGGGTGCAGCTAGTTTTGAGTCAAAATGCTTTTATTCCTACACAAAAACTCTTGTAAGGCCTTTTTTCCATGAGGAGGATAGGAAGTTTCTCTTCCTACTCACCATCAAAATGTTCCTTGCCTGCAAAGACTGCTCATTACCTGCTAATTGTGGAGTCACCTAATCCCTTGCCTTTTTAAGCTAACCAGTCAACAAGAAAATCATGCTGAAGAAAACCTCCTTCTTCAAAGGTGCCCTTGCCATATCTTAAAACTTCCCCAGATATGTGAAATGAACTATTAGTTAAAATAGTCCATGTAGCAAACAAGCTTATACTCATCTCTTCCCTCATTGTCGTATGTTATTAGTATAATTGCTCGTCCCAGGTGGCCCTGGATTTCTATCCTGTGTTCCTTGTGCCCCTGAAGCTCTCACTGAGTGCCAAATTAAGTCTTTATTTCTATTATTTTGTGGGGAGAATGGAAGGAGTTACTGACAAATTTTTAGCAAGGATCTTTGTCAGAGATTAAAGCGAATTCAGCAAGGGCTGGTTCTTCAGAACCCTAAGTCTTCTCTTCTTTTAGAAAGAACAGTCTGGCAATTACTACTTGAACTCCTTATTTTGTCAAAAAGGTGCAAGTTTTTCTTTCCATCTGCTTTAAAACTATTCTGTAAGCAGATTTATTTAAAGAAGAATTTTATTTTTATTGTTTATGTTTAGTGCATACAAACAGTCATTTCCAAGCAACTGTCTGCAATGTTTTATATACAGTGGAAATGCAGTTTGAATGCAAATCAGCTGTACTAAATATTTCAGAACTACTGTTATGTTCTTGTCATCACATTTGCATGATTATTTTAAGGTGTTCTCTTTGGTCTGTTTTAAACTGTTCTTCAAAGGGCAAGATGATGTCAGCAGGGAGAATGAGACACATTTATTATAAACTTCAGTGAAAGAAATAAAATTAAACTGTATGTTTAAATAAGGAATTTTATTTAGAAACTGTGCAGCAAACAGTATTTGTGTTTTATTCCTATCAGGTTTTTCTCACTTGCCTAGCTCTTTCATTTTCTTTCCTTAGGTGTATAAAGGGATGTCTGTGGACTTGCCCTTGCTTGGCCTAACAATGTGTAAATCTAGCATATGAGATGATACAATGAAGTAGATTTCTATTGTACTTTGCTTCTTTGTTTCTTTGTAGAGTATTGTGCTATGGATGATAATCAACTCTCAAATGCATTGAGATGCTCTGATATACAGACAATAGCTGTGAATATATAAAAGCTATATAAATAAATATAATTTCTGATAAATGACTGTGTCTAATCTCAGAGAAACTCAGACAGCTGGTTTGCCAATTGTCTTTACAGCTCCTGTGCTTTACATTTTAAGAGCAGAATTTAATTTTTCAAGGTCAGATGGAATTTCAATATACTTTGGGTATCAGAATTAGCATGGGACAATTCCTTCCATGGAAATAAGTAGCCATCAATGGCTGCATCTACATAAGATGCTGACTGAGTAGCCCATGACTACTGTGCAGTAGCATTGTGTGGCAGAAAGCTTAATGCAACACTACTGCGCAGTGGTCTCATGCTACTGAACAGTCAGCATCACAAAAAAGCATCATGAAGAATAACTTGTTTATACAAATACTAAATGACTGTGAAGTAACAACTGTGAGGTCAGTGTCTTGTGTAGATGCAGCCAATGTGCAGGTAAAGAGCTGGTCTACTTTCCCCAATTGCTGTACCACCCATAACTTCTATTTTGACCAAAAACACTCTGGCTAGGGAAAGAAATTACACACAAAATGTTATAAGTGATTGGAAACTGGTTCAAATCTGTAACACAACAGAGGTTCAGTGCACATAAACCACTTTCAAACCACTGTCTGAAACCATTTTAAGATAAACCTGGATGAATGTAGTATCAGACTTAACTGATTTAGGTTAAATCAGTTTATTGAATTTCTGTCCCAGATCCCCTACAGATTCAAGTTAACTCACAGTCCTCCAGCATCCCAGGATGCTTTGCACCTCCCCTGCAAACCCCACTTTGCAGGATGGGTGGGCTAGTCTTGGCACAGCTGTCTGCTCCAGCCAAGCAGGGAGGTGTGCTGTCATCTCCCTCGCCTTCTGGTATGGGTCACTGCAGGCATGTGGCTGCATTTCCCAAATCAAAAATGAATGTCTGTTCACTTGCTTATCAGTTCAATCTACACAGCTTAGACTAACCTGCAAAGATTAAAAGTATTCAACCTCAGGCTTTTTGACTGTCTGCATTTAGCCTCTCTGTTCTGGAAGCCTGGCTGTCTAAAGCTCTCTTGCAAATACCCTTACATCTGTCTTAGAGGTGACTCAGTCATGCTTAATATTCCTACTTCTCAACTGTTGCGGACTACTGCATTTCAGATAAAATCGCCTCTCCCTTCTTCACTATTGCCTAGTCAGGTTATGTTTCACTAATGTGGAAGAGACACAAGAAAGAGAGAGAAACTTTCTCCAAGCTATCTTTGGGATTATGGGAGGGTATACTGAGCTAGGAGACCAGAATTCTAAATTTGCCTTTTCCATGCCTGTTATTTGTATTTTTCTTCCCTAAAAAATGTTTGCTGTTAATTTGGACCAAGTACTCCTATCTTAGAATAGGAGAAAATAAAATATCTTTCATTTTACAAACAAACAAACAAAGGATACACAAAGTCATTCCTGGAACAATATAATATGACAGCTCTAAGTATATCTCAGTCACTGTGTCTGTCAGAATTAATGCACCAAATTGATCTCTATAGCTATCTTGCCCGTTATAATCAGCACACGTTATTCCTCTCTTTTGGGTAAGGATAAACTTGATGAATCCTGTTCAACAGTATTCTATTGCTATTGAGCAAGTACCATATTTACTGAATTTCAGATGAGCACCCCGCCCTCCCCTCAGTTAGTATGGGGAGAAAAGCCCTTCATCTCAGATGTGCATACAAAGCGGAGGGGTGGGAGAGGCAGGTGCTGCAGCTCTGGCCCTGAGCCCCAGTTGAGGCCAGAGTCAGACCCACAGCAGCCGTCTGCTTCCACTTCCACTTCCACTTGCCCTCTGCAGTTCCTGTGCCCCACACCCTGACCCCTTCTCCCTGCACTTACTGGCAGGCACAACTCAGCTCCACCTCTGGCTGGATTCCCTCCCGGGCATGGAGCACATGGAAACTGTCCTCTGCCCAGCCAATCAGCAGCACTGAGACTGATGCATGGCCAGCACAGGCTGTGCTTGTACATCATGTGCTCTGGGAGGGAACAGAGCCCAAGCAGTGTCTGACAGTAAGAGGTAGGGGGAGGGACAGAGTCAGAGGCTGTGAGGAGCAGGAGAAAAAGGACAGAGACTGCAGGGAGCAGCAGAGAAGAGGCAGAGACTGTGGAGAGTGACATAGATTCATAGAGAAGTAGGGCTGGAAGGGATTTCCAGAGGTGATCTAATCCAACCCCCAGCTGGAGGCAGGATCATCTCTATCCAAACCATCTCGTACAAACCATAATCTAAACTCTACCTAAGATTGCTGTTAACCCTGACACAACATAGACCTTACACCCTAACCCACCACAGGTAAAGCAGGGGAAGCATAGCAACCAAAGTTCTTGTTTCTATGAAACATTGACAATATATGCTTAAGAGGTCCAGGGAAGAGGTCTAAGCTCCCTGCTACAGAGGAAGGCAAACACCCCCACAGTCCATACCAAACTGACCATATTGTAAAATTCCTTCCTGACCCCAAATATGGTGATTGGTCTGACCCTGAGCAGAGGGGAAAGACCCTTTAGTCAGGAACCTCTGTCTTTGGTTCCAGCAGGAACACTGGCACATCACAATCAAAGCTCCCAGCCTTGGCTGCAGCAAGCACCTAATGCCTTTGGCAAGGCTTAAAAACACCTGATATATATAGCAGAAAAGGTGGGGAGGGGGCAACCAGCAAAGCCAGAAGCATGAGAAATACCTATGGTAGAACATAGGCATAGCTACACCTAGATCATCTCTGACCCGTAGCTGTCTAACCGATCCTTAAACAGTGATGAAGAGGCCACATCTTTCCTAGGTAGTCTATTCCACTCAGAGGGGAGGGGCAGAGGCTGTGGGGAGCTGCAGGTGGGGGTGGTAGAGGCAAGGAAAGCTGCAGGGGGAAGATATGTGGGCGAGGCCAGAAGAAAATTGATCAGCCACACCCCAACCACAGATTTCCCTCCTGTTGAAGTGGGAGGGGAAGAATTTAAGACAACCATCCAATAATTAGACTCCATACTTGGAAAATTGTAACAAATTGCTACACTTTCTGTATATAGAAACGAATTATTTGGGGGTCTTTTAAAATTCAGCATAGACTTAGATTCAAGTAAATATGGTAGTTTCATGAACCATTGGAGAAGTAGGCATATGTGTATGTTGTTATGAGCTGCACAATGAAGAAGTTGATGGGTCTTTAGTTGTATCCTTCCTGTTTTGTGCTGGAAACCACAGAGCTGCTCTGGATCATTTGAGGGGTAAAGTGGTAGTCTACAGAGTTGCCTTCATAACTGCATTGGGAAATGCAATTACCCCCATTTTACAAATGGGAAACTTAGGCACAGAGAGGTTAATGGACAGATCCAAAGAAGGAACATAGATGGAATTTAGGAGCCCAAGTTCAAAACTGCAATCCTTAAAATCCCTGCTCATTCGCCACCTAATGCTGGATGTGCTTCAGTCTTGAGCAAGTTGAGTGGCTTAGTGATGATCTCATACAGAATCCAGAATTCCTCACCTAAGCTGCCCAAAAAGTTCAGCATAGTAGGATTTAACACACACTTCCAGAATCAGGGTCCTGACAAAATGCAGTAGCAACTTCAGCTTCTTTTAAAATTCAACCATAGGAAGAGCCATTGCCTTCCCTTTTATAAATATTATAGTTTTTTAGAGCATTGGCTTCAGATGTAAGGGTGAGGGAGGAAAAAAATCATATCTTCCTCTGCCTAAAGATTCAAGCCCCCATTTCCACTTGCCAAGAGCCTGCCCAAACCATCAGGATGTTCTGGAGTATGAATGAGGAGTACTATTAACACTGTTAAAGCTGTTTAACTGTACAGAAAAGCAGTCCATGCTAGGTTGTGGATTCCAAGTGGAGTAAAGAACATAATCTTTGGAGAGGAGCATATTTTAACTCTTGTATAGTCAACTTTTCCTATTGGCCAGCTCAAAGTTCAGTTTGGTGGTTGTTTTGGTTCCCATTTTGAATCATCTGCTTCTTCCATT